CGCTCTTATTTGTAATATTGGAGTTAATCAAGTAAATAAAAATGATGAAAAAATTTTCTAGCCTAGAAATTCATTGTTCATGATGTGAATTCACTATTGTATTAGCATGAGAACAATTGCCCAAATCAAATCAAAAATCTAAATAAAAAAAAAATCATAATTCTCATGCATCCATTATCTAAAATTAAATAATTCTAACTCATAAGATTGCATCTACACCAAAATATTTTGTTTATTATTTACTCATTTTGTAATTGACCATAAAATAACATGGCTATTCACCAGTTACTGTAACAACTGTACCATCTTTTGATTTGATTTAGAGAATGTAAAAAGTAGCCCAACTTTAAATTTATCTTTCGAAGTATTAACCCTCTAACTATTTAAAGTTTTATGTTATTATTATTATTATTTTTTTTTTTGAAATGTAATAGTAGATTTTGTTGAAAGGATTGGATGAATATGACTCGTGTATCTCGTAGTAAAAAATAAGTTATAAATAGTATTAATTTTTTTTTAAATATTTTGAAAAATAGAATATTTATTAAATAAAAAAAAAACTCTTCAATATCAAAAGAGTTATCTAAGTACCTCTCATAAAGAAGTCAAACCAGTCATAATTCAAAATTTGCATAATTTAGCCCTAGATAGTGAAGTATATAAGCAAATACAATCAATAAAATAAATGAGACTAACTAAAATAAAAAAAAATCACCTAAAACGAGAAGTTAATCATAGCCAATTTCTCATTAAAATAAACCTCCACTCTAATAATTTAATTAGGGTTCTCGTGTAGTGAGTAAACTTCTTATTATGTTTCTTCTTCTTGCATCATCTTGTTGAGTCTAGGAGACTTTCTTATTGTTTAAAGAGCTTATAAGAAAATTGTCTTTTAATATAATGTTTCGGGATAGAATATTAAAAATGTGTTGATTACGTTAGGTTACACCCACATGATAATGTAATCCACTACCTGAAGTTGATGAAAAAGTAGAAAAATTAATAACTTCAAATTCACAATTGCAGTCGAATGTGAGAACAATGGGAATCAAATCCACCACTGTAGGACCAATTGCTAAAACAAGGCTTCTTGTAAAAATATATCCCAATAAGTTGAGGGAGTTGACTGTTCATTATCTTATATGGAGAGTGATTCAAAAGTTACTTGGTCAAAAATGTTACTAGAATCATTTTGGATTTATTGGTCAATGTACATATAACCAAATAGAGAAAGGTGGCCAGGTTGTAAAAATGAAGGGATAAAAAAAATACTGAACTATTTATAGAAACCCTGTGGATTAGTGTATTAGAAATTGTTGAAGAGAGTGTCACTAATTGTAGACTTGGTATCAGACGATTGTTAGTGATAATAAACTCTAGTCATTTCCATTACTACACTATATCTTTATCCACTTCAAAAGGAGTCAATCCATATAGAATAAGAATAAAACTTTGAAAACAAACTTCAACAATCACCCTTACAATAAAAACCCTAACAAAGGTGAAAAATAGTTAACTTTTCGACTGAACTCGCTTCCGTTGGTCCATTGGACACTCTTCTTTTGTATTCAATTTAGTTTCTATTTTGTTTTCTCAATTGTAATGTATTTCTTCCATGAAAACATGTTTCTTCTCAAGTACATGTCGTTTTATTCTAGAAACGAAAAGATGAAAATTATGTTCAAACAATTGTTAGTGAGAATAAAACTCTAGTCATTTCCATCACTAAACTGTATCTTTATCCACTTCAAAACCATGAAATGGCCTAACAAAGATAACTGTAGGAGCATCAATGTGAAAGAATTTGACAAATTTTGAAAGTAAATTTAAGAGAATTCTGCCATGAAATTTTATTCATATATTAACGAAATTCAAATATTAACGATATTTTATTCATAAACCATGACAAGGTATGGAGTCCAATTAGCTTCATAAGGAGCTCTTTTATTTTTATGATCTAAAGCTGTAAACAAAGCAGTTTAGTCTTCAACCTTCAAAAAGATTTTTTTAGATAATCAAATACATACCACCCAAAATATTGATATTTAGAAAAGGAGCATCCACGTGATTTTTTTTTGAACTACTAAACCGATGTAGTTACGCATGCCTCGATCAAACTATTGAGAATTTGATAAATTTGATTGAATTATAAGATATTGGTTGGCGTTTCACCATACATTTTGATATTTGAGTGAAAATTTGATAAATAAATGAAAGCGGGAGGTTGATTTGTAAATAGCAAGTTTTAAGTTCAATATCTGATAATATCGAAGCGGAAATCCTTCATGAGAAACTAAAACTAATGATTGAGAATTATTTATTCAGATCATGCATTGAACATTAATTAACAACAATAAAAGCTTTTCATATTGATAATAGTAACCATTTCTTAAACTATATATAAGAGATCTATCTTGTTCACCATTGCTTATCCTTCTTTTGATGGCTATGAAATTCAGACATTGGCACAAATCCTTAGATCTATATATGAAAAATGTGATAGCACGAATCTCGAAGAGGTCTGATGGTTGCGAGGGAGAGGACGTGGCAGGTTGGGACCCACTAGGAGAAACCTAAGGGTCCATCTTTCGATCACACGACTCTTGCTAATGGGGTGACAGTCAACCCTCACAACAGATGGTAATCAACAACCTGTTTGAAAGACATCCTGGATAAATTTCTACGCTGCCTATTCTATGGGATCCACACAGAGGCTGAACAGATAATATCGTTTACCCGAACATCTGACCGACGGCCTGCGTTACTCAACTAACTCCCAAGCAACGACCATTCTGACTATACGACCGGTTGGACCTCTTTTTAGGCTCCCGAGCCTTATTAATATACATTAAGAAAATACTTCTTACTATCTTTATTTAACAAGAGATACAAATGTACATTTGGGGTGCCCCTACCTATAAATACGGGATTCATTTCATGAATAAAGGTTTAACAATTTTTTTATTCATTATTATACTCTCTCTTTCTCTTCTCTACAATGCTCTATTTCTTGAGTATGTCTCCCAGATAATTTTCAATTAAGCAAAATCATATCCATAAATGAGAAGTTTCAAACTGACCTAATTAGAAAATGACAAAGTTGCTTCGTTCAAACGAACATGTGTTTTATATTTCTTTTACATTTTCATATGAAAAAGTTACCTACAGTTTTTCCCCCAACTGATGCTTAAATTTTGATAAAGATTAAAATAATAATAAATAAATAAATAAAGCCATGTATTAATCTTTTTAAAACCTTGACTATAAACTAATAATCTTTAGTTTCTCTGAACAAAAAACAAAGAATATCAACATGTTAACAAATCTTTAATATTGAGTGCTCTAGTATTGAACTCAACTCGGTGTGCAAATCACACCTAAGGAGTGGAGTGAAAGTAAAGAGAGAACAAAAGAAGAACAAGATAGAAATCTCAGTAGAATAATAGTAGTAATTCCCCTCATGTTTTTCGGAAAAAGTTCTATTTATAGGTAATTATTCTCATAATTATACTAAATAGAAGTTACATTATCAAAATTTTCATAATGCTCTTGAGATTTTTATCTCTTCGGTCGGTCGCAGCAGTAACCATCAAGATTATCATTACTATGGCTTAATTTTTGTTCTCGTCAGATCATTTTTAACTTGCTCCTAATCTAGAGGATTGTTCACCTACTTATGTAGTAGTCGACCTTCTCGGCAATAATTAACATTTTGCTGCGTGCCAACTTTCTATGTTCGTCGAGATTATTTCTTCAAAATGTGTCTAATCCAGGGAAAAAATATTACATCAAAACTCCTAACGTAGAACTACGTTCGGAATCCACTCATATATGCAGACACGTGGAGATGACAGAAAAATTAAAAAAAAAATCGTTTTAGCATTGGGGAATATTTCTCTCGTGTTATTCCGCATTATTCAAGTATTGTTGTGGTGGTATTCATGTGTTATTGTGTTGTTATAATAACACAATAATACATCGACACCACCACAATAACACCTGAATAACACAAAATAACACAGGAGAAATATTCTCCTGTGTTACTGGGCAGAATCATAGGAAAGAGCGCGTTGAAGCCACGTGTCCGCATATGAGTAGACTTTGAACGTAGCTCTACATTAGGAGTCCTGATGTAATATTTTTCCATAATTCAGAGCCATCGAATCTAGCTTAATATACTTTCATAATACCACCATAAAAGCAAAAGTTACTATAAAAATATAAATCAATTAGAAAAAAATTTTTATCATGATATCAAAATCAAAAACTTAAGCATGACGCGTCCCAAAATTTTATGAAATTCCTCTAACGCGAACAGAGTACATTAATAATTAATATCACTCTCAACCCAAAACTTAAGCATGACCCTTCTATCAGAATACTTTAATAGATGCGTATCCAAAGTTAATATTTTTATATAAAATCTTAAAGTAAAATAAGCTAAAAATATCGATTTAAGACATCCACTCTTTCATTTACAATTATTCTTTAAAAATTAAATTATAATACTAAATAAATTTTAAAATTACGTACGGACTCCGGACGTATCTATACGACAAGAGTCCAATGAATCGCCTTAATATAAAGCTGTCAAAAAAAAAAAACAATCGTTTTCTTGTGATCCGGCCCAGTAACACGAGAATATTCCTCCCCTATTATTCTGCGTTATTCAAATGTTATTGTGGTGATATTGATGTATTATTGTGTTATTATAACACCGGGAGTATTCTTAGAATACAATAATATATGAATATCAACTTAATAACACTGAATAATGCGAAATAATATAGAGGAAATATTACCTTGTGCTAAAATATTTTTTTTTTTTTATTATTTTTCTATCAACTCAAAGTGACGTAATTTTATTGGACTTCAGTTAATATTTGTTAGCTCCAACGCTAGCAGGAAAAAGCGCCAACGCCGCATAAGCATTTGGAGCTCAGTTCCCGTTTAAAAAGCCGTTAGCCCGAACTCGGAGGCTACAGATCCAGAACCAAAAAAAATAAAGAGAAAAAAAAAAAAAAGAAAAAGAAAAAACAACAGAACAGAAGCCAAAGGGTCCGCACCGCAGCGGGAGGAGAAGCAAACGGGAAAACACGAAGCTGCTAATGGACCCAAGCGACGCCTTCTCCGCCAGCTTGTTCCGGTGGGACCCTCGCGCCGCCGCTGCACCTCCCCCAGCCACCGTACATCCATGCCCCTCCCCGCTGTCCATGGCCCATCAAGCCCCAGACGGCCCACCAGAGGCCCTGCGGGCCGCCGCCGCACGAGAGCTCGAAGACGTGTTTGAAGGGTACGGAGTTCGGTACGCGACGGTGGCCCGAATTGGGGATTTGGGGTTCACGGCGAGCACGCTGGTCGGGATGAGGGAGGAGGAGGTGGACGATATGATGGCCACGCTTTCACATCTTTTCCGGTGGGATCTTCTCGTCGGCGAGCGATACGGAATCAAGGCGGCTATTAGAGCCGAGCGCCGCCGAATTGAAGCGATGTTTTTGCCTCCGGTGATCGCCGGAGCTCACCATCACAATCATCATCATGCCGGAAGCATACTCGGCTCCGGCGCCGGCCAACATAGCTTGATGTCTGATGATCCAAGGAGGAGGCTTCTTTTACTCTCGCCGGACCAGCACAACGCTCTCGACGCACTTTCCCAAGAAGGTATTTTTTTTGCTGAATTTTTGCAAAAGTTCGAATTTTGATTGTGATGAAGGTAGAAATGCAATTAGTGTAGATTAATTTCTAGTTCCAAGCGATGGGTAAATTTGTCAGTTAATTAGGTTTTAGCTGCTTGGTCGGTCAATGGAATTGGACTAACTACCTTATCCAACATTAAATTAAATAATAAAAATTTGTTTTTGAAATTGATGTATCTATAATGTGCTCTTGAAACTTAACAGGATGTGTAATAAACAAAGTTTTTTTTTATTAATAATTATTTACTTGAAATTAGATTTTATATTATCCATTTTATGACAATTTTTTACTTGAAATTATATTTTAAGTTATAATGTAAATGACTAATATATAGTTATATCATGCCACATATTCATAGCACTAAAAATGCTCATTTTTTCCATCATATTTTTATATTTTGAGATGACTTCAAGTTTATGACAAGAAGCTAGTCTTATATGTATAAATGGAGCTCATTTTTAACAGCACATAAAACAAAAGTTTTGTTCACATTCATTCATGTTAATTAATCTATTATTTATTTATTTTTTTCTGAAAAGAAATCAAATAATTACAAATATCTTGGCACCTGTCCCCTCAAATTCGTGGCCAACCAAAAACCAGAAGAAAAGTTATATGTCGTTATTTTACATTTTATGTTGTATAAATGTTTTTGTCACTAATTTGCTGTCATATTTTTTAAACATTTTCCGATCTCTTTCATCAATTGCAATGGCAGGACTTTCAGAAGAACCGGTACATGGCGGGACCCCCCGCGGGGGGGGGGGGCGAGGCGCCTGCCATTAGAGAAGGAAAGGGGAAGAATCCTCAGCGGCGAAGCAGCGGGAAAAAGGACGGCTCCTCCATTAAGAACAGGAAGAAGAAGAAGAAAGGATTGGAAGCAGATGATGATGAAGAGGAAGATGTGGAAGTGTGGGGAAGATGTTCCATGCCGGGAGATGAGAACGACGATATCGACGACGGGGAGGAGTCGGAGACGGAGAGGAGCGGCGGAGGGGAGAGGCAGAGGGAGCATCCGTTCATTGTGACGGAGCCCGGCGAGGTGGCGCGGGCGAAGAAGAACGGGCTGGATTATCTGTTTCATCTTTACGAGCAGTGCCATGAGTTTCTGCTCCAAGTCCAGGCGGTGGCGAAGGATCGCGGCGACAAGTGCCCCACCAAGGTAACAAATTTGCAATAGTTGATTTGTTATAGGAATATCCTGCTATATTATATCAATATTTATTTGTGTTATTCGTGGAAAATAAAGTGTTATTGGAATATGTCGCCGCGTTACTTACTTTGGAGCTGTGTTATTCTAATAACATAGTGAAAATTGAAATAACAAGGGAATAATGCGGAATAACACAGCCCCAAATCAAGTAACGTGGGGGAATATTCCAATAACAGCACAAAGTAATCAAATAATTTCTCATAATATTCGAATAACACTTCATTTTTTACAAGTAACGTTGATGAAATATTTCCATAATACAGCGAGATATTCCTATAACAGTACGCTCGGAGTCCTGGCGTAATATGCGCTCCATTACCTGACATCTGAATGAATTTTAGTAGGGGCCAATATCTAAATATAAATTTTATGTACTAGTAATATTTTTATTTTCTTTAAATTTAAGATTTTATTAATCTCAAAATATTTCAAAAAATAAATTTAGATTTTTTTCTATATATAATATTGAAGTATTATAATCATATTAAAATTAATATGCTAATTAAAAAATATTATGTTAATTATAATTTTTTTATAATTTATTTTTGTTTTTTAATTTTTAAAAAAAAAAAAAAGAAAAAAAAAAGGGAAGACTTTTTAGGATTTGATCCCACGGGCATATATAGGCCGTAGACTATCTAAATCCGTTTGGATTGATAGGTCTCTTTAGCTGGCACCAGGTGAGTGAAATGTGAAAACACATAAAACTGGAATAAGTGTCCCAAGAAAATTCCATTTTACATACCAACATGTGCGTCCGGTTATTAGCAAAATCTACAATGTACGAACTCGGGTCACGAGATAATGTGCATACGCATGGGAAATAATTGATAAGACAAAAATGTAAATATCAAATGTTAGGTGTTAGATATGTAAATGCATGTGTTGCATGTATGTAAGCTTTCTAAAATATGATTAGTGAGTAATCTTTAATATTTTATTAATGCAACAATTCTTAATACAATTTTAAATCTCATAATACAAGTTTTTTTTAATATAATTTGGACTATTGCACGTGCCATTTAATTTCATGATTGATTCTATATAGAGCTTAACAAATATAACTTACATGCAAACCAAGCATTTTATATGATTTACATATCTAATATCTAAAAAGATGCATTTAGTTTTAAAATAAAATAATAATAGTGATGTTTTTGATGTATGTTGAAGGTTTTTAGTGTTATATATGAAAATATGAAAGTTTAGGTTTTAGATATGTAAGAATATAAGAATTGTGTGGAACGGGCATATACATGCATACAACCCAATTCTTATATGTATTTAAGTATGTAACATATATCACCCAAATTCTTCATAACACATAAAAAATATTATTTTTTTAATTTTTAAAATGTAAAATATATTTTTTATGTATAAATAAGAGAGACACATGTAAAATTGAAGTTTACGTGTGATATATTTAAATACATAAGAATCGTAAAGCATCCATTTATTATAGTGTAGAAAGTGATGTTAATATATATATATATAGACACACACACAAAAATGAGCTTTTAATACTAAATTAACAGATAAATAGATATTAAATATAAGTATTTAAAAATTGAAATATTTATATGCAATTATTTAAGATTGAGTCAAATGGTGTTTCAGGTGACTAACCTTGTATTCCGGTACGCGAAGAAAGTAGGAGCAAGCTACATAAACAAGCCCAAAATGCGGCACTACGTCCACTGCTACGCCCTCCACGTCCTCGACGAAGAGGCCTCCAACGCCCTCCGCCGGGCCTTCAAGGAGCGCGGCGAGAACGTTGGGGCCTGGCGCCTCGCCTGCTACAAGCCCCTCGTCGCCATCTCCGCCGCCCACTCCTTCGACATCGACGCCGTCTTCAACGCCCATCCCCGCCTCTCAATCTGGTATGTTCCCACCAAACTCCGTCAGCTCTGCCATCTCGCTCGTAGCTCGTCACAGCCAAGCGTCGCCGCGGCGGCGGTTGCCGGAAGCAGCAGCGGTTCAACCCACCGCTCACTCGTGGGATCTGATGCTGGAATCCCTCCTTCCATGTTTTAGATAGATGCTATTTGATTTAGACTGTAATGCATGCATGAGTTTAGGGTGCGTTTACGTGCGCATGGTTTAAGTATGTAGGGATTAATGTGGCTTATTTTTAGCCATATGATTAAGAAGAAGGGATGGAACTGGTGCGGATGAGATATATCTACTTTATTTATTTTAGCTTTTTTTGTTGAAGGTTTGCGTATGTCTCAATTAATATTCCAATCAAAAAGTCTTTGAATCAAAATTTTGTATATGTAATGCGTATATTTTGAATTAAATTTGCTCAAATTTTAAGGAGAGGATGAATTACTTAAGTCAAGACATGGCCTAACTAAAAAGGTCGCTATATAAGTGAAATTATAAAGTTTCGTCCTTGCCCTCAACACAGGATGAGAGAATTACAAACATAATGCACTCAAACTTGATATCGTGTACTTGCATTACAGCTTATTAAACTTCTTTAACCTTCATTATACTTGGGCTAGGGTTAAGTTTTGTTTATTTTCCCTCTGGAACCTTATCTTATACATCTGTTCCTAAGTATTTATGTTTTCAATCGACAGTGTAAGAAGAGAAAATAGCATATTCATTTATTTTTCTTTATCGGAGCTGTATTAGTTCTTGTATTTCTTCATTTCGCTTGTTATGAGAGCTTCATCTGTTTTTAATAAGGTATTAGAAACAAAAAACCTTGCCTTATCCTCCATTATGTTAGGGATTACAGTATGTCCCTTTTATGGAGTCGGATTAGGACATAAAAATAAATAAAGCCAAAAGACCAAACTACCCCTAATTACAAAAAAACCCATAAATATAACAATCTTCACCTCATTTCTTACTTTCAGATATGTGAAACATGACCAAATGAGCTCCAAACTCCAATTCAGCTGCATCAAGATAGTTGCTAACATACCCCCTTCCAAAAGGTTCAAGCCTCGTGTAGTTCTTTAAAATAGTTGATAGGGTAATCAGTTCGAAGCTCGAATATTCACAAAACTCTTTACAGTAGATGAACTTCTGGACTCATAGTACCTTCGTGAGCATGTCTGTTGGATTATCCTTCGTATTTATTTTCTTCAAAAGAACCTTATCGTCATCAATCAAATCCCAAACAAAGTGATACCTCAAGTGCTTTGTACGTACATGGTGAACTTGATTTATGATCAAGAATATTGCACTAACTGTCACAGAACACCGTCATAGGCTCCTAATCAACTCTCAAATCATCCAATTGGCCTTTCCTCCATATTGCTTCTTTTATTGCCTATATGACTGTCATGTGCTGAGCCTTCGTAGTAGACAATACAACAGTAGACTTAAGAACGACCTACAACTAAATTTACCTCCTGCCAATGTGAATAAATAGCCAGTCTTTAATATATATATATTGAATCCTGATTTGTCCATGAATCATACTCAATGAATAGAGTTTAAGATAAGAGATGAGAGAGACGAAAATGAATGACAGTACTGAACTTTGATTTGAATTGTTGATTAATTCTTTTTGAGAAAGTGATTCCCCTATTTATAGAAGAGGGGGGGGGGTACAATATATGAAGTTACATATTTGTCATTGTTTTAATTGGGGAGTTACAATACATTTAAGATACTTTATAGAGGCCTTTGATTCAGTCACCCCATGACTTGGTCGGCTGGAGTTAACCAGTCATATTTCAACAAAACCAGCTCGTTCGCCTTTGTTGATCTAGGTTGCCAGTCGACCCTTGATGGTTTTCGGGTCGGCGAGATTTGATTTGGTCGGCTGTGCTAACCTAGTTGCTGATTGTGGATCTCTGGGTAAAGAACTCTTATCGATTGAGTGAAACTAGACTATCAAGTAGAGGGTGATTCATCGTAATCCAATTGGTGGCTTACTCATATATGAGGTGATCCTCGGGGTGCTTTGAATGGTTATGTGATGGTTAGCTCTTGGCCCTAGATGAGAAAACTCAGGGGCATCTGTGGGATAGCTAGTTATGTTAAATGCTTCCCTGTGTTTGATTATAACAAGAAGCAAATTGATGCCCTCACTTAAATTGATAAACTTTAACCTTCGATTAGACAGCCTTTGCTCGATCGACCTTCAACCTTGGCTTGTGGGGATTCTGTTGGTGAACGCTTAGCCTTCTAGTGTTGAACTTTAGCCTTTAGCTGAGAGAACTTTATTCTTCTTCAAGTGGACCCTTAATCTTCTGTCTGTGCCCAAGAATACTCTCGATTAAACAGATCCAGCTTACACTTGTATACCGACTAGTAGATGGTGTCACAAATGATGATTATCTCACATGAGTGTTTTGATGCATTCAATATATATATATATATATATATATATTGAATTTTGATTTGAAAAATAATATTTTAATTTTTAAAATATGATACTAACAAGATCTCATACATTTTAATAGTTTAAATAACTACCCCTAATTACAAAAAAAACCCATAAATATAACAATCTTCACCTCATTTCTTACTTTCAGATATGTGAAACATGACCAAATGAGCTCCAAACTCCAATTCAGCTGCATCAAGATAGTTGCTAACATACCCCCTTCCAAAAGGTTCAAGCCTCGTGTAGTTCTTTAAAATAGTTGATAGGGTAATCAGTTCGAAGCTCGAATATTCACAAAACTCTTTACAGTAGATGAACTTCTGGACTCATAGTACCTTCGTGAGCATGTCTGTTGGATTATCCTTCGTATTTATTTTCTTCAAAAGAACCTTATCGTCATCAATCAAATCCCAAACAAAGTGATACCTCAAGTGCTTTGTACGTACATGGTGAACTTGATTTATGATCAAGAATATTGCACTAACTGTCACAGAACACCGTCATAGGCTCCTAATCAACTCTCAAATCATCCAATTGGCCTTTCCTCCATATTGCTTCTTTTATTGCCTATATGACTGTCATGTGCTGAGCCTTCGTAGTAGACAATACAACAGTAGACTTAAGAACGACCTACAACTAAATTTACCTCCTGCCAATGTGAATAAATAGCCAGTCTTTAATTGTTGCCTATCCATATCATCTACATAGTTTGAGTCAATATAGCCTACACACAAATCTGTATAGATTATTTACTCAAAAACACCAAGCCAATATCAATTGTATCCTTCAAATACCTCAGAATACTCTTCATAGCTTTTCAATGCTTCCTTCACGGATCATGCATTAACTTGCTCACAACACCAACTACTTGTGCAATGTCTGCTTTAATATAATGACATATATCAAGTTGCCTATTGCTCTAACATACTCTTACTCTTTATCCATTTGCACTCTCTAAAGATCACAGTCTGGCCTCTCCACTGTTTCTTTGTAGTGACAATAAATTTTTGCCTCTATGGTTAAAAGTGCAAATGTAATGTGATTTTTCAACCATGCTGTCTTTTGGACATTATGGTGCATATCCTGCTCCTAACAATAGATTCATGAACAACAGTCTCACTCTTAACATCTTCTTCCACCTCCTCTGAGCACTATCAATAGATAACTTTTGAGTTGTAACTAAATCAGGTATCTGAATTGGAGTGGATGAACTTCATGGAATAAATGGATTTGCATCAAACTCTAACTTCTGTTACATATCTGTGGTCCCGGTAGAACTCTCCACCTGCTTTGAGTCTCAAATTTTTAATATGTTTGTCTCATTGGTTTTAATGTCCTGCTCATGTTAACCTTCATTTCTGACTAATTATATATCTTGAAGCCATTGACTCCATCCCTCAAGCCAATGGAGATCACTTTCTTTGCTCGTGGTTCCAGTTTATCATTCTGCAGGTGGTAGTAAGTTAGACACCCAATCACTCTCATGTGCTTATAATCTATAACATGATGATATAACCACATCTCCTTTGAGGTTTGTCTGCCATCAAATTGGATTTCTGAAATAACATATAATTTTGTTTACATATTTGTCATTGTTTTAATTGGGGAGTTACAATACATTTAAGATACTTTATAGAGGCCTTTGATTCAGTCACCCCATGACTTGGTCGGCTGGAGTTAACCAGTCATATTTCAACAAAACCAGCTCGTTCGCCTTTGTTGATCTAGGTTGCCAGTCGACCCTTGATGGTTTTCGGGTCGGCGAGATTTGATTTGGTCGGCTGTGCTAACCTAGTTGCTGATTGTGGATCTCTGGGTAAAGAACTCTTATCGATTGAGTGAAACTAGACTATCAAGTAGAGGGTGATTCATCGTAATCCAATTGGTGGCTTACTCATATATGAGGTGATCCTCGGGGTGCTTTGAATGGTTATGTGATGGTTAGCTCTTGGCCCTAGATGAGAAAACTCAGGGGCATCTGTGGGATAGCTAGTTATGTTAAATGCTTCCCTGTGTTTGATTATAACAAGAAGCAAATTGATGCCCTCACTTAAATTGATAAACTTTAACCTTCGATTAGACAGCCTTTGCTCGATCGACCTTCAACCTTGGCTTGTGGGGATTCTGTTGGTGAACGCTTAGCCTTCTAGTGTTGAACTTTAGCCTTTAGCTGAGAGAACTTTATTCTTCTTCAAGTGGACCCTTAATCTTCTGTCTGTGCCCAAGAATACTCTCGATTAAACAGATCCAGCTTACACTTGTATACCGACTAGTAGATGGTGTCACAAATGATGATTATCTCACATGAGTGTTTTGATGCATTCAATATATATATATATATATATATATATTGAATTTTGATTTGAAAAATAATATTTTAATTTTTAAAATATGATACTAACAAGATCTCATACATTTTAATAGTTTAAATAACTTAGTACAACACCACAAATAATGCACCTATTCCAAAGAATAGGCACATCACTTGACAGTGAACTCGATTGAATAAACAAAAAGAATTCATGATATCCGTTTGGTCTGCGAACCTTTTATGTATTAACTGAAAAGTTTCGCTACCTAATATTGAAGATTGAGTTGGGTTTATATTACATTGGTTTTTTAATTCCCCATAGAGGCAAGCCCCTACAGTTAATTAAATTTGAAATGACCGAAGTCACTTAAGAAAATTCTCGATGATGATCATAGGTACTTGTTTTCAGAAATTCAATGTTTAGGGTTTCAAGGTCGGACGTGGAATAGTTACTTTTTGAATCCAAAGGAAGAAAGGTAGGGGATGCCACAGATTCGAGGCAA